GTAGCTCCCAGTTTGGTCCAGTTTAGAGATTGAACTAATTTCACTCAGAAAAGACATTACCGGCATTTCTTACTCTTTTTTGGAGAAGCACTGCAGCATATTAGGACTCTGTAAGTGAAATGTAGTGCTTTACTGTTCATAGTTCATCGTCCAGAAGCACAAGAATAATTTGACAGTCAACGCTGAGAGACTTACTTCCGTGTAGGCTGGAACCTTCTTTAATTCAGCATGTGTTTGGTCTATGCACGCTTTGTGTTGATTAAAAAATGCCAGAGAGTTTTATTGAGCCAGTTTGAAAATAAGCAATGACATGTTGATTTACCATTGTTTTTAGCTGAAGTTTTAAGTTCCAGTGTTTTACATTTTTAGTCGTATTTGGGAAGAAAATATAGGGTTAGGGTTGCATTATCTACCGAAGAACAGGGCCACCCTCTCTGCCCCTGAGCCATGTTACACTGAATTGACAGGACTGCCTCAACAGGGGAAGCTGCATTTATTCATGTTTTTTGCCACTGCTTAGTTTTTTTTCCTGCACTCTAGTAAGGCAAAGATGGAAAATAGGTTGTTATATTGGTTACAATCCAAAATCTCTCATACTTTGCTAAATATCATATATATCCCACACACCAGATTTGTTAAAATAATTCAACCCACTAAACTCTGGATCCATTGCATCAGTTTCAAGCCTCCATTTAGTCCTGAATATATGTAGATAAATTTGGGCATCGTTATCAGATGTTTCATAAATCACACAAACAACTATAAACTTAAAAGATCCACAACCCTGGAAAGTATGATAAAATCTCATACGGCATAGGCCTTTACACATCTAGTGCACAAACTACCTCCATTACACTTTCTGTGTAGCTTAATTATTTTCATGAATAATGAAGTGGAGATCTGCAGCAGAAACAATGTGAAATCTCAGCTTTTTAAATCTTGCATTTTAAATCAGTACTGTTATCTTAAATCAGACGTCTTTAAACTCACATCTAAATGTGTGCAAACCTCCTCAATGTCTTAAGATGTCTTTTTGCACAGGACTTACTTGGAACAGTATAGAAAGGAGCATTGGCTTGGCATATGAAAATAATATAGGCAATCAGAGTTGAGGAATGCTAAGAAGATTAGATAAAGGTAAGCTTTTATGGAATTTGACAATATAAATGTGAACAGATCAAATCAAAATATGCAAATGATGTCACCTGACAAAAAAAGCTTGAAAAGGACAACTGTTCATTAATTCAGGATGCAAAGCAAAAAATAATCTCATATGTAGCTGCACAGAGAGTATAACATTTATCTATATCTGCAGCAACCCTCATGAAAAAGGGGAAAAACAAAGTGGGTGGGGGAAATCCTAATATAAGAAACCTTTTGATCAAAGCAAATTGATGATAATTTGGCCTATAATTGGGGTTAGAGAAAGGTTTTGACAGAAACGCTCTTGTCATAGCCCTAATATCTTTATGTCATGCCTGATTATTGGTTGTGGTGATTTAGACCAGGCCACATTAACAAGAGCTTTTTCCCTTTGCCTTGTTACAGATGAAATTAGATTTCCCTGCACTTTCCTAAGTAGAGTAAAATAGGTAGATAATACATAACATGTAGCTGTAGAATCACATTGGCATTGCATATTAGAATTTATTTTATTTATATTTAGAAATTGACAAACTCTGTTATTGTGTAGTTATCAATACTTAGTTATAGCAGTAAGACTTACTGAGCAATACAGGTGTGTTTAAGTCAGAGAAAACTGAAACAGTGAAAACATGTGAACATATCTGTTATTTCAAGCTTGTTAGGAAACCACTGTCTCCTAAAGTCCACGTAATCCTGTGACAAGATATCGAGTGTGTGTGTGTGTGTGTGTGTGTGTGTGTGGCAGCATGTTTGTGTGGTTTAGTCACGCACTGTCAGCAGAAGCTTACACTACCTGCCATTGGGGAGCTGATGCTACGCTTTTCTTCAGCACTACTTCGACATGGTCCCTCATGAATGTGAAATTTATGTATTTCTAACTTTTCAAGAAAGTTTTTACAGTGAAAGAAGTTAGTGCAGCAACTCGCAAGTCACATAAACCATTTAAAAAATGCTGGAGGGTGAAATATTTATACCTTTGAGCTAATTTAAAAGTACATCCTTTGATTATGGTGTCTCCTATCTCTGTTTCATCCTTTTCATGTTGCTTTTGCGAGAGGACAAATGCATGCACACAAAATCCACCTTAATTTATGATTTTCAAAATATTCTTGAACAGCAGCACCATCTTTATTAAAAAAACAAAACATGTGAAATACACAGAGGATGGAAATGTTTCCATTGCTCAGCTTATCAAAACACTGAAACGATCTGAATTATACTTACTGATGGAGACATAATGGAGAACATGACATTTCCACTCTGGTGTATTTCTAATTTGTGGCTGCTCAGTGCTCTCCTGTCCCTTATTTTAACAAAGATATCTTAGCAATATGTTAATCACATATAAATGAAAACTTTTCTCATCTCATCTCAGACATATCTTACTTGGAGATCTGTGCGACAGAATGCAAAGCAGGAATTCATTTTTTGATATATGGCAGAATAGACTAGGTCCAGTTTCCTCTTCACTTACATACACCCACTGTCACAGCGTGGGATAGTGCTGAATGAATGCAGAAACACTTCCTCCCAAACAATGTGAGCACTATTCTTTCACCTCTGCCCCACAGCAGTTTTATATGAAATTCACCGACCACCTATTTCCTGAATCCATTATCATTTTAACTCTATTCATCTTTAACAAACCCCGTGGTCATGGGATGAAGGACTGACTGGTGCAACCTCTGGTGACTGTCCTAAAACCTCGGATCTTTCAGCCTGAATGTAAACCCTCCTAGCCATGCCAATCATCAGATTTGGAACCATTTGGACACCTGATGTGAGTGAGTGAAGAAAATGTGTCGATGTGTGCACTTGTGCGGTCCATATCTGGGTGTTCCTAGTCCTGATTTTGTGTGTGGGTGTGTATGTGTGATTTACAATGTTTTCTTGTGTTTCAAGCCATCTGTGCCCACTGTCACATAGCACACATTGGCAGTGAATAAAAAAGTCTTGTGTCTCTTTTTATGACTGTGTGGCTGGCGTAAGAAAATAAGTCACACCTCAACCAGTGCAGATGATGTGACTTTTGAATCCAATTTAATAACTTTATGCAACTATTTGTCATTGCGATTTAAAAAGTTTCAAAAACCTTAGTTTACTCATGGTGATACTGTTACCTATTGCATAACAAAATATCTAAACAGCGACTGTCAAAAACATCATATGTTGTATTAACGTGGACAAACCCACAGTTTCAGTGTTATTCTCCTATTTGCTTATTTCCATTTCATAACTCTTTCTTTCCATTTTTGACTATGTTTGGTTTACATTGTATAATTAGTTTTTGGTATTAGAGTTGGTTAGATCTTGAAGGAATGTGCAGCTCGTGTTAGACTTACAAAGCACCATGTGAGATAAATTATTTATCTTTCTGTGCTTAGAAATACTACAGCATGCTGCACCTTCATCGCACTGGCCCTCTTGAGCATTCTCCTCCTCAGTTAGGATTTTTGATAAGGTGCTTTCCCATTCAGGATTCCTATCCCAAGGTAGTGTTCCAACACACACCTTTAATGTGCTGGAGTAACGAATGTTTGATGATATTTAGTTAGAATATGCTTTTGAATAAGATGAAATAAGCTTATTAAAGATGAAGTGTGCCTCAGTGGGTATGAACAAGTGGTTCTGAAAGAATGGAAGAAGAATAAAACATAAAGCAAAATATTTATCTTTAGTAGTTTGAAATGCACAATGACTTTACTATCATTCGTGTTACAATGGTGGTCCTACATAGAACATTGGGGAGGGAAATTAAGTTATATTTTTCATTAGATCCATAGTATTTGTGGTATGTATAGTTAAACTGCCATTAAGTTTTACTAAAAAGTACATTTTTGTGCTCACAATGGTTTTAATGCATGGATATCTATTAGTTTCACCTTGATAGAAATTGGTCAAAACTTGGCCTGTACCCCCTCGAACAACTGTGACCAGAAAACATTCAGGCTTATTCCTGTCAACCCAGACAATGAGGGATGAGAGGACATGGTATAGCAAAGAAAATACAGGTGAGAGACAAAGCTGAGGAAGGATTTATGAGGTAAGAAATGTGGACACAGGTGTAGGGAGTTAATGCAGAGTGGGTGTTAGAAGAGTATTTAATTAATGGATTACTATTTATATGAACCCTTTTCAAATAAGGAAGATGCAAGTTTATGAACAGATAGAGGTGAAATATCACATGTCATTAAGAACAAAAGTCAGTTGTTAGTTTAAGAAATTATTTAAGAAAAAATAAATAGGGACAAAACAGAAATGAGTGGCTGTTTAAAATAAAGGGCATAAAGGCAAGGAGCAAGAGGACGAATATGTAGCAGCTTTTCTCTGCTCTGCCCAACCCCCTCTACCCCAGCCCATTAAATTCATTTTAACGTTTACTACATCTGTAATGTGGCATCTCAGCACCCTTTCCACCCTCCCCTGGGACACTGGGATAATCTCTGTTAAGCTTTCAGGAGAGAGGGATTTTATCCCTACACTGACAGATAGAAAGAGACTGAAAGAGAGCAAGGGAAAGGAGCTGGCTACTGGGGAATAACAGCATGGATAATGAGTTATCTTCTGAGAAAATGGTCTTCTTCCTCTTTTCACCAGCCTAGCTATCATTTCAAATTTGTGGTAACCCTTTCTGATAGCATCTCAAATTGGCTGCATTTTAATGAAGATGTACAGTGATACTTCATAAATGTGTGGAGTGTTTTGAAAAAGAAGGAATTCATTGAATTTGGAAAGTTGCAGGTGTCCTCTGTAATTGTCAAAATACAAAAACAATTGCCTTGATGTATGATTGATCCACTGATGAGACTCATATGGACAATCCTGAGAAATAATCTTTTTGATTTTGTCTCCAGTCTACATGCTTCATGAGCAACGAGAAAATTAGAAGGTTAGTGGACCGATCCCCATCAACGGAGAGTTGAAGTTACCAGAGGCAAGACGTACCCCCCTCTACCATGTACTCCCATGTGTGCAACTGTACTGTGTGTAGACGTTTTCACACATGTGCACAGAAGAATGTGTGGACAACTCGGTCCAGACCTTATTGCTGTTGCTGTTAACACAGATACTTCACAGTGAGAGATATTCTACTAGATGCGTCCTCTCCTAGCTAAAAATATGAGCCAGGGGGTCTGTTCTGGCCCCACAGAAGACAAAACGTGAAGGACAAAATACACCATGGAAACTGTTGCTTCCTTTGAAGGATGTGAAAAGTGACAGATGATGTTTCTTAATATCTGATTTTAAACTGATACAGTTTCAACAGTACAAGGCATGTCTGAATGAATTATAATGAGCAAGAGAAAAACAGAGAAAGCAACTAATCTTAAACAATGAATGTTTTGGAATAACAACTGCTACTTTTACATAATATTTCAGGAAGATCTTTTGACAATCTCCTGAAGAAAATTCTCAGCAAAAGTCCAACGTGAACTTTTGTGATCTTACATACCACCCCCTTGAAATGTTCCCAAAAAATGTCAGCGCGACAGTGAAAGCGCGAAAATGATCGAGGTAATGTGCAGCAGAGAGTTCTGCCACATCAGCAACGAGAGGGCTCCTCTTTTATCATTTTGTGATAAATAAAGATCTTCTATAAAAACCGGGAAAGGATCCATCTCAACTTTAATCAAACACTTTTAAATAATGTATTGGCAAATAAGGGTTGCTATTCAGCCCCTCTTACACCGGCATTTAGACTCCTAAATATTTTTGTTTGAAGCTATTCTAAAACTGCTTGTTTTGGGAAAACTTTCATGTCTGGATTACAAAATGCAAAACCCATAAAGGCACAAAATAAATTGATTTGAAAGTCAAAGTGGGTGCCAATATAAATATGCAATTTGTGAGCATTCCTTTGCAGTATAATGGCATAACCAGTCAAATTTCTATGGAAAAAACAAAAAACAAACTTGTGTAATCTATTTTCTCAGTGCAGTTTGTGGCCCAACCTAAACATCCTGAATGCAAACCTTTTGAAAAATCAGTTAACCTGCCTATATTAAAACATTAAAATTTGCCATCAAGATCACAGCCTTTTAATGTTATTAGCAAAAACTATTTGATAAGTATGATGTTTGATGCCTCATAAACAAACCTCGAATTTGGGCTAATGTTGCTAATTTCTCACAAAATGTCAAGGTTTTAACTTACCAAAATGCCAGCTCATAGTATGATGTTCCCATTTACCCTTGCCTGTATTCCTTCATCCTGCTATGAGCAGAGTGTGGTAATTAGATTAATGTTAGCATGAGTGTGATCTGTGTGTGTGTCATTTTTGTCCAGCTTTCTGTCAGCGTAGATGTCTTCAATAGTGTCTTAAATGTCTTCAATAGTTCTGATTAAAACTTGGCTTTAAGACTTAAGCATCATAAAAGTCAACACTGTTAATAAACCACAGAAAAGCAATGCTTTAAGAAATGTGTGTAATTCTTTGTAAGGAAAATTGTAACTGGGTTGTTGTCAAAGCTCAATCAGGACCTGATTTGATAACCAGAAGCTCAACAAACCCACAACTGTTACAACCGGTGAGAAATGTCAAGGGTTAGAGCCGTCAGACACCTTCAGCGAAGTCAAGACAGACCCTCTGAGACTGGAGCTCTGGCAGTGGCAGTGGGAGTCAGTATGACAGGCCGGATTCTAAAGAGTCCAGTTAAGGGAAGCTCTGCAGGGAGTACCGTGTGGGGAGAGCACACACTTTCCACATTCACTGTCTCCGGTCCTCTGGGAATTGTTGCCAGATAAAGATCAGAAAAAAAAGAACAGACAGAAATCATGGAAGGGGGACCTGAAGAAATGTGCTTCAGAGCATTCCTCCACCAGGGACGTAAGTAGGTGAAAATGTGGCCCCTATCAAGAGATCAGCCGCAATGACACTTGCAGGAAAGAAATCTCTATTGATAGGATCAAAGTGCACCACTTTTTACTACTAACATAGTGATTGGGGACTACTCTAGGATCAGACCAAGAGCATTTTTCTTTTTTTATTCCTTCCTCTTTTTTTAGAGAAAGTGCATGTTTAAATTATTGCAAACGAGAAATTGGACATTTGGGGACTGCAGAAGAGATGATCCAGAGAAGAGAAGATAAAAGCAAAGCTGGGCTGCCAGAATATTCTGTAAAGGCATCTCGGTCCGTTGAAAAGTGAGGTGTGTGTGAGACAAGAAATTCTGTCACGTTTAGATGACAAAACTTGAGGGGAAACTGGTAACTGGCAGTTTAGTTTTGTTTTAGCTCACAGGACCTTGCTCATAAATCGCTTTGAGGGAAGAATAATTCATCAATTATTGTTACAATATAACATCAAACTGAGCTGATAAGAAGGACAGTCCTGTAGTCCGAAGGTGAAAAAAGGCCAGTATTGTAAGCATTCATGTCTGTGGGCGTTGAAAATGCAGCCACAGTGTGAGAGATAGAATTCCTCTGGCCTCATTTAGAAGCAGAGTTTTCCATTAGTCAAGTGTTGTTGCTGCTTGCTTAACCAAGGGGAAAATGGGTTTTTAAAACTGCCACTCGTCAATATGTTCACTGTGCCTGAGTGTGTGTGCATGTGTGTCTTGGGGTGAGTGTGTGTCATCGTGTTCATACTTTCATGGTTGTGTTTGTAAGGATGCATTGTACAACAGCTCTTACTGTAGCAGGGCTCTGTCTAATGGATTTAATGCTGACTCTGGGGTTAAGCAGGAGATTCTGAAAGCTAAGAATTCAATTCTATGGAGGGAAATCGTTTTCAAACTGGAAACACACTTGAGTTGAGATCCAAATGAACTTTTTTACAACTATGGAGTCCAGATATGTTGTAATAATGCAGTGATTTAACATTTACACATCAAGCTTCTGAAAGCAGATGCAACTGTAAATTACATGGTCTAATATGATGGATTTTTCAGTAGAATATCACAACTATTGTAGAAAACTGTGAAAGGTGGATGGTGTGGAAGCATGTAGGGCTTTTAATGACAGGAGTTTAACAGCAACATATGGCAATGGGCTTTTCTTTTCTGAGCAATATTGGGTTAAAGCAGCATTGGAGAATCTGGTGATACTGTTGCTTGCTTTTTGGCTCCCATGGCAGTTGGGGGAAGTAACCGCTGTTCTGATAACAAATATCAATCAGTTGACAGGATTCCAAGAGTGTGGGAGATGAATTAGGGATCAAACACTTTTATGAGAATATGTTTGTTTATCTGAAACCAGACAGAGATGGCTTTAACTGTGAGGTGGAGGTGATAAGGGTAACTTTCAATCACTGATAAATAACTGATAAATACCACTGCTGTGATATTGTGTGTATTTTCATTTAGCTGTGATAGAGAGCACCAGAAAATGCCAACAATGTCTTGACAAGTTTCAATATATTCTCACAGCATGAACGTTCCTTGATCTCAGTTACAGGACAACTATGGACAGTTTGTATATTCTCCCCACAAGTGCGTGGGCTCTCTTGGTAGTCTAGGAGTGTTAGGTTGCATCATTATTTGTCCCATCTCTGTGTGTGCTGACCCTGTGATGGTTTTGCGACAGTTTTTTTAAACGGTGGATGTGGCGTGCCTGCAGATCAATTCTTATCAGAATCATATTTTTCTTTTTTTTTCCTTTTCTTTTCTTATTCATTTACTTCCAGGCACCAGGCAGTATTCCTGTTATATATTTTTTTATAATTATGAGCATGTTTGTCTTCATGGCCTCACCCACGGTCAATCACAGTCAGCGTTCAAGTTAAAACAGCAAACAAAAGGCTTGTCATTGCTTGGCAACTAAAACAAAACATCTGTGCTCGAGAATTTGATAAATGCTTTTAAAGTAAATTTATTACAGCTGAGTCAGGGTGGTGTCAATTCTGCTTTTATTCTACTTCAGACGCTTTTAGTGAGTCATTACAAGAGCTAGCTGAAGGATTCAACACCTCTTTTGGTTAATTGTAACCACCATGTGTCAATTTTTAGACAGCCTCTCACAATGTATGTGTTGAGCCACTGCACCTTAAACAACCAAAAATAAACATTTTATTTGTACCCACTCATCACACTGTTGTTGCTGAATATGTCAGTATTAGTGAAACCAACTGAAATGAGGAATCAGGGCAAGAACGAGACAAAACAAGGCTGTCGGAACTAACCCACTAACATAAACCCATAAACCCTTCAAGATGGGTATCATTTTGTGTCTCACTAGGACAATTACGCTGCAAAGGAAGCTTGAGCTCCTGTCAGCACTTCTTCACTGAAAATTGATTAAGTAGGATGACAAACAATATATGGGGAGGACTAATGGAGTGGCATTTTGTTCCTATTTTAAGAAATCATCCTTTTTTGTAATTGATTTTTAAACTAGGAATGAAAAAACTCAGAAAATAAGTTCAGGATTTCCATGGTAGTTAAATATAAAAGTTTTCACCTCTTACTATTAGGCCACAGAGCTTTGTTGGAACAAAATAAGGAAACATAAAAATAAGGAAATCATCGTGTTATATTTTTCTTCATAATCGATCATAGACGTGATTGCGTATGGCTATTGCTGCTGACCGCTATGACCTCATGTCATTCTGTGTTGAATTGGAAGTTGGCGGCAGTGTCCAATATGTTTAGCAATTTGTGCTCCATTTTTCTTTGCATGAGCTCCAGAGCAGTCCCCAGGATATAACCAACTTTCTTTATTGTTATTTTTCTGTTTGTCTCAGTCACTGGCTCTGTTTATGTGTAGCCAATGAGTGGATGCAAAGCAGACAGCACTCTCAACTACAGATTTTGCATATATGTGTGTGTGCCAGGCGTTTGCAAGTATTGTTTAGTGTTTAAAATGACTTAAACTAGTGCAAAAAATGTGACAACACCCTTGGATATTGCCAAAGACTATAACATATGTATGTGTTTAACAAGATTTTGACCAGCCCAAAAGAGGAACTGAGGTTTTTCAGTTACTTAAGTGAAGTTAATTCAATTTAGATTTTCTCTTGCTTTAGATAATATTTGTGCCTTTCAACACTTTGTGTGGTTTGTAAGAGTGTTCTCTGCTCATTTCTCCTTGGACTTTTGGTGGTCTTTCAGAGAGGTCCCTGCTCCCTTTACTCTGGTCATTTGGTCACCTGCCAGGTCTCTGCTCCATTATTGCCGGAGCTCTGGTTATCTGCTTGTTTGCTCTCTTCATTGTCAGAGGAGTTCCTGCTCTTCCATTTCAAGACATCCTGTATTTTCATCATTTTATTGAAATCAAATATTTGAATAGATTTAACTTCACATTTGACACTCATTATACATAAATTCATCTGTAAAGTATAGCAAACAAATAAAAACATTGGAACAAAACAGATAGTCTGTAGTCTCAGTCAGTAGTTATGTCCACTGATCCAAAGTTACTGGACTTTAAGAAAACTGGTCAAGATGTCACTCAAATAAAAACAGCGCTGTGCTCTCATAAGTAGTGGTGGATTACTCGATTCTTGTGTAACAATAATGTTACATTGAACATAACCCCAAAAAGTAAACTCAATTAACATAAATTAAATTCTGTTTATATAGCACCAAATCAAAGCAAGGCACGCCAAAGATACTGTCCAATTTATGCCAATTGAAATCCAATTAATTTGAACAAAGTCAAAATTCAATCAATTCCCGTTCATTAAATTCTAAATGCATCCAATTCATACAGAGCTAATTAAAAAGAAAACAGTTCCATTCCAAAGAAAACCAACAGACAGCAATGAATCTCCATTTCAATCCAACTACCAATCCTGACCAATATCAGAGGCATCTGTGGAAAGAAAAATCTCCCTTTTCCAGAATGAAACCTCTGGCAGAACCAGACTTAGGAAGGGTGGCCATCTGCCTCCATCAGCTACGGTTTGAGAGGGCGGAAAAGAAGGACATAACCACAATAGCAGCTCAAGGAGAAACACAAGGTAATAGCAACAGTGTTAGATGTACATTGTTTGCTAGAGTTTACTAAAGCATGCCTTTATATCTTTTTTAGCTTTATTTTGGAATAAACAAATACAAATTATTGTTTCACACTAATTAGGCCATTTACAGTTGACACTTTTTTTTCTAAATTGTTCAAAAGAATTATTTGATTATGCTCCTCCAAACTGCGGACAAAAATGCAAAAGCTAAGACAGAAAAGTGTTGTTCTTTTTTTCTAGTGCCTTAGGCTTTTTTGAAAGTTTTCCCAACTTATTTTCCTCTCTGTATCAGAATAAAAGCAAGCATAGACTTGGTTTTCTCCAAGTGTCATGGGATTACGTGTGCAAGCTTTTTGTGCTTTTCAAGCAACCCTTGTCATCTTCATCTCTCCACTCTAAATTCCTCCAATCCGCCCCTGTGGCTCTGCTAATACTGCTGTATTGCAGATATAAATGAACATGTCTGTGTCTGGTGTGAAAAGAAATGCAGCCATTGACTGACCTCACTACAACATATAGAATAGATGTCTGCAGCACCCCGCAAAGCCCCCCGGGGAACAACCTATTTTCAGTCGCTACATAGATGTTGTTTTTTTGTTCTCTTTTAGGTGTATTTTGGTTCAGTGTGATGAGGTTGTGGCCATATATATCTTTCTGAACTGAATCCCAAAATAGACTGGCAGATGGAAATGTACATACTGAACAGGGTTTAGTATGTACAGCAAATCCTATCCACCACAATCCCAAATGCTTTAAATGCCAGACAGACAGACAAACACACACATGCATACACACAAAAATGTATATGCACATGAATATCTATGCTAATATATATGAATGAATAGATATGGAGATACCATTCCCTGTGACTCAAGTAAATTGAACTCTTACGTCTCATCTGCTTAAAACATTCCATTCTGTCACATATTAATGTTTACATGCACAAAGTAAATGTCATATTCTGACAAGTTGTCAGCTTAAAGAGAATAACCTTAAAGCAAAGAGCATTGCATTCTTTCACCCATTTTATTTCTTTATGATTTAAGGAAAGTAATGAAAAACAAGACAAATTCTTAGAATTACATCAGTATCCCTCTGATAAAGTAATGCCGGATTTTCTCCCATTCATTACTTGATCTCAGTGTTGATGCGTGGTGGTTAGAGAAAAGAAAGAGCCACTTCTTAACTTAAAGAAGTGTGGCATGCTTTTTATTGGGTTCTTTGTCAATACATTTCTACACAACAA